GTATTCTTGTAAATTTCAACTTTTTTCTTGTAATATTTAAACTTTTTTCTCGTAATATTTTGACTTTATTCTTGTAATATTTAAACTTTTTTCTTGTAATATTTCGACTTTATTCTTGTAATATTTAAACTTTTTTCTTGTAATATTTCGAGTTTATTCTTGTAATAGTTTAATATTATTCTCGTAATATTTCTACTTTTTTCTCTGAATATTTTAACTTTTTTCTCGTAATATTTCGACTTTATTCGCGTAATATTTCGACTTTTTTCTCTAATTATTTTTACTTTTTTCTCATAATATTTCGACTTTATTCTCGTAATATTTAGACTTTTTTTTCATAATATTTCGACTTTTTTCTCGTAATATTTCGACTTTATTCTTGTAATATTTAAACTTTTTTCTTGTAATATTTCGACTTTATTCTTGTAATAGTTTAATATTATTCTCGTAATATTTCGACTTTTTTCTCTGAATATTTTAACATTTTTCTCGTAATATTTCGACTTTATTCGCGTAATATTTCGACTTTTTTCTCTGAATATTTTTACTTTTTTCTCGTAATATTTCGACTTTATTCTCGTAATATGTAGACTTTTTTTTCATAATATTTCGACTTTTTTCTCGTAATATTTCGACTTTATTCTTGTAATATTCTCACTTTATTCTTGTAACATTTTCTTCTTTATCTCCCAGCCCAAGTGCAATGTTATTGCAAGTTTTATATTAACAGATTTATTGCATTCGAAATCAAAACTAACAAACAAAATATCTGCATGCGACCATCAGCTCATCTGTGCAATGAATAATGATAGTAAAAGTATTGAAAGTAATTCTTTATCTCATTCAGCTCGTCTGCTGTTACATAAAATCAGACGACAGTTTCTCAAAACTAACGTCAGACCATTCATTTTTGCTTCACATTTATAAGTGATACAGTATTATTTAAAAAAAAACTGCTCATCTGCTTCCTCTTTGTTCAGATCATGGTTAAAAAGCAGTGGGTGCCTCTCATTTTAAGTAGAAAGAGAACAGACAAAGCCTATCTTTAGTTTATAACAATATATTTCTTAAAATTATGTTACTTATTTGATTAGTTGTTGGTTTTAACATGTCAATTAAGATGAGTTTAATTTCAATTTCGGAAAGAAATGTTAAGCATCAGCCTTAAAAAAGGACACCTTCCCAATTTCTGTTTAACAGGAAGAAGATTTCATTCAACACATTTCTAAACATAATAGTTTTAACAACTCATTTCTGAAAACTGATTTCCTTTATCTTCGCCATGATGACAGTAAATAGCATTCGATTAGATATTTACTAGATATTCAGCTTAAAGACATTTAAAAGCTTAACTAGGTTAAGTTCTGTTAATTAGGCAAGTCATTGTAAAGCAGTGGTTTGTTTTGTAGATAATCAAAACAAATATTGCTTAAGGGGTTAATAATATTGACCTTAAATTGTTTTTTAAAAAAAACAAAACCACTTTTTATTTTAGCCAAAATAAAACAATTAAGACTTTCGCCAGAAGAAAAAATATTATGGGAATTACTGTGAAAATTTCCTTAATTTGTCAAACTTCATTTGGGAAATATTTTGAAAAAAAGCTTCACAATAGGGTGAATAATTCTGAATTCAACTGTATAAACAGCTTATCATCGCTGAGTCATCATCTTGTATTTGTCTCGAGAGTTGTTTCATCGTTGTCACCTCCAAAATTTTGAAATGATAATTTCCGTGAAATCGCTGGGAATTCCCGTCACGCTTTGCAGCTAATCAAGCGAAGTCACTTTTGAAGACTGGATCTGTCTTCTATTACACAATAACTTAATTAAGACGTACACAATGATGCAATTACACACAGTTTCACAGTCTGATGCATCTTTATTGGCCTCATTGGGAATATCTGCTGGTGCAAAACAAGACTAATTCAGTCATCGATGCTTGAAAGCAGAGAGAATCAACAGTGACGGAGTAAATGTAGAGGTGTCTGTTTCTTAGATGAGTGCATGAGAATGTTTTGGAAGCCTTCAGAGGAGCTCTTTCTGCAGTTGGCATTATTTATGTTAGCCATTCAGAGATTCGTTCATCCAAACAACGTCATATCTCTCGGCTGAAATACTAGTATGATGCAGATTTTAGGAAATTAACAATGTGGTGACGAGTGTTTGCTAAGACCGTAGTTGCTCTGTCGCAGATCGTTCTTTTAAACCACGTTAGTTAAAATGAAAATGCTCATATGACATTCTAAATGGGTTGAGTTAACAACTTTTTTAGGGAAAATCTACATTAAATAATTTTTTGTCCAAATAGTTTAGTTTTTTGATGATGGTGTTTTATGACATGTTAAAATATTAAAAAATCGGAAACTATGAGATTAAATAATAATATCACGAGAATAAAGTCGAATTGTTTCAACAATAAAGTTTTAGTGATACGAGATTAAAGTCGTTCTCTAAATTCTCAGAATATTTCAACTTTTTTCTTGTAACATTTCAACTTTTTTCTCGTAATATTTTGACTTTATTCTCATAATTTTCTAACTTTATTCATGTAATGTTTCGACTTTATTCTTGTAACATTTCAGCTTTTTCTCGTAATATTTTGACTTTATTCTCGTAATATTCTGACTTTATTCTTGTAATATTTCAACTTTATTCTGGTAATATTTCATTGTTTTTCTCCTATTATTTAGACATTTTTCTCATAATATTTCGAATATAATTTTATAATATTTTTTCATAATATTTCAACTTTATTCTCATGACATTTAATGTTTTTATCATAATATTCTGACTTTATTCTCATATTTTTACTTTAATCTCTTATATTTTGATGTTTTTCTCATAATATTTTGACTTTTTTTCTGGATTATATTTTAACGTTTTTCTCGTAATATTTAGAAATTTTTCTCAGAATATTTTGACTTTATTCTCATAATATATTTTATTTATTCTCGTAATATTTTTTCATGATATTTAGATTTTATTCTCGTAATATTTTGACGTTTTTCCTATAATATTATTCCTATAAATTTTTCTTGTAATTTTTTTGTAATATTTCGACTTTATTCTCGAAATATTTCAAAGTTTTTCTCGTAATATTTCGACTTGATTCTCATTTTTTGACTTTATTCTGTTATATTTCAAAGTTTTTCTCGTAATATATCGACATTTTTCTTGTAATATTTCGACTTTATTCTGGTAATATTTCATTGTTTTTTGTAATATTTAGAAATTTTTCTCGTAATATTTTTGCATAATATTTTAACTTTATTCTCAAAATATTTTTCTTGTAACATTCCGACTTTATTCTCATATTTTGACTGTATTCTCGTAATATTTCGTTTTATTCTTGTTATATTTTGACTTTATTCTCATAATATTCTGACATTATTTTCATAATATGCATTTAAAGAGACAGGACACAAAAAGCAGCTACACTTTCATCTGACCCCCAAAAATATTTTTTTTAGAAGGGTATAATAAATGGTCTGATTTGTATTTTGAGCTAAAGCTTTACAGACACATTCTGGACAGTCTTAAGACTTCTGGAATATCTTATTTTACATCTTATAAAAGTGGTAAAATAGGAGCTAATATAATAATAGATTATTCTCATTGTAGTCTTTTATTTGTGTTTAATAAAGATTGTCCAGAGCATATAGGCATGAATTCAAGTGAAAACTTGTGCTTCTTCAGACTGGCGATTGCACTGTACACATGCCCTCTGTGTAATTTGTATAATTGGAACATATTTGCCTTGCAAAACGGGCTGAAATTCCACAAATGCGAAATAGACATGCAGGAGCAAGTATGTAATTATTGCTAAAGGACCTTGTTGAAAGCTTTGATTCATCAGCTTGAATACTAATGTTCACTTTACAGAATGTTCATTTTCAATTATTTAAGGTTGAGATTTTTTTATTATTATTAATGCTTAACAGGGCTGTATTTATTGAATAAAAATAAAATAATATTGTTTGTAAAATGTAAAATAACTAGCTGCCTGTTTTATTTTGATGTTTGGTTGTTTAATTGATTTTAAAGATGATTTTTTTAAGCATAATTATTCCTATTTTTATCGTAACAAAATTTTTTAATAATATTTTTATTGCATTTATACCGTGATTTGTCACATTTTGTGTTATCAATGTGGAAAATGGTAATGTTTTTGTTGGTAATGCCCTTCCAGCTGCAACCCATCACTGGAAAACATCCATACACACTCATTCACACGCAAACACTATGTACTACACTTTCCCCTGGGTGCTCCGGTTTCCCACAGTCCAAACACATGCGCTATAGGTGAATTGAGTAATACATAATTGGCCGTACTGTATGTATGTGAATGCAAGAGTGTATGGATGTTTGCCAGTGTTGGGTTGCAGCTGGAAGGGCATCCGCTACAGAAAACACATGCTGGATAAGTTGGCGGTTTATTCCACTGTGGCGACCCCGATTAATAAAGGGACTAAGCCGAAAAGAAAATGAATGAATGAGCTGGAACTGGTGTGTGTGTGTGATGTGCATGATGGGAGTTGTAGTTCATTAAAGTGGCCGATGTGTAGTTCTCCAGGGATTTGCAAATGCTTGATCACTGATGATCATGACAGTATGATCTTATTTTACATCCCTACCCAATACCTAAACCTAACTACTACCTTGCTGACTAATAACAAGCAGCTAATTAGTAGTTTATTGAGCTAAAATTCTTGGTTAATAGTGTGAATTGTACAATAATAAAAAGCGTAACGGTTTTATTAAACCACGTGTTGCACCTTAATTGTTTTAATGTTTCAGAAAAACATTTTATCTTTGTAATAATAATACACTTTATTTATTTATTTATTTTTTTGGTTTGGATTATTTATAGATCAACACATTTCGAAATGAGTAAAATTATAATTACCAAGAAAAAGTATTGTTGTACTTTTCCCCATGAGGGCCTCTCTGGGGAAATTGAATTGAATGGTTCTTTCTGTGTGTGTTTGTGTGTTTCAGTGTGTCAGGGAGCAAACAACAAACTGACTCTTCTGGGAACAGTGGAAGACCATTATCAGGTTCTGCTCAGAATGTACAGAAACTGCACTGTGGTTCTGGAGAACCTGGAAATTACACATATAACAGAGAAATATGACCTGTCCTTCCTCAAGGTATGATAAATCCTGCAATGATGATATTCCAATGCATCGTACATCATCTGTACACCATTGTTTAAGCATGTTACTATGATAAATTTAGATTGTACAGTTGAAGTCTGAATTATTAGCCCCCTTGTCAATTTTTCCCCAATTTCTGTTTGATGGAAATATTTTTTTCAACACTTTTCTAAACATAATAGCTTTAAAAACAAATTTTTAATGATGAATTTCTTTTATCTTTGCCATGATATTTTCCAACATACTAGTATACAGCTTAAAGTGACATTTTAAGGCTTAACTAGGTTAATTAGGGTAAAGTTAGGGTAAATAGGCAAGTCATTGTATAACAGTGGTTTGTTCTGAAGACAAATGAAAAATAAAATCTTGCTTTAGGGGGCTTATAATATTGTGTGTAGAGTTACTAAAGTTTGCCCTTTGCGCTTGCGTTTTTTTTTAGGTACTTCTTTGGTTTGGTGCGTCAATCTTATCAATGCTATTATTCAAAAAAAGGTAATGATTCGCACTCAATTGCTTTGTACTGTTTTTATTTTTTATTTTTCTTACATTTAATTTCCTGTGAAATTGTTTTCGAAGGTGAGGGTAAATGTCTCTTGTATAATTGGTTATGTGGGTAGAGGTGATCTTCGAGTAATTGTCAAATGTAAAAAACTTTTTTAATGTTAGCTGTCGGATTTTTATTGTATTGATGTACACTTGATTAATGATAATAGTTGATGCACTGTATCTCTGTTGAGTGAGGTCGGAAATGTGAAGATTGTTTATTGTTATTGCTGTGAAGATTATAAGTTATTGTGTGATTAATGGATAATGAAATGTGAGTGACGGTCTAACTAATTGCACATTAAAGAATTGTGTCACACACTGAGGAAGCCTTTGTGCCGAAACATCTCTTTTAATCACCCGTAAAATGTAAGAAAAATAAAAACAGTACGAAGCAATTAAGTGCGAATCATTACCCTTTTTTGGCTAATAATATTGACCTTAAAATACAATGTCCTACCCTCTCTTCATGTTTCAGTTGAGATTACGACAAACATCGAAAAAAAATTGCACATTTCAAAGCTATTCTGGGGTCCTTTAATACAGTGGTTCTCAAAGTGGGGGTCGGGACCCCCTGGGGGGACGTAGGACAGTGACAAGGGGTCGCTTGGTGATTTCCGAAGCCTGAATAAATTTTATTAAACACTTTGAATTACCATATTTTATTCAAGACCCACAGAATATAGAAGAAACAATATACAAAAGACTTAAATTTTTATAGTAAAATGTAATTAAATTAATAAAAGACTATAAAAAAACATTATATGGTTAATAGACTGTTGCATTTTTGTTTTGTCAATATGCTCATTTTTATATTTACCTATAGTTTATTTACGGTATAACCACCTTGAAAAATGGGGGTTGCGAGTCCCTGACATTGACTACGTTTACATGGACATCAGTAATCGAATTATTTGCTTTAATCTAATTAAGTGAATAATAAGACTAAGGTGTTTACACGAGGTGCTTTTTGAGTGTTACTTTCATGATCCTGTTTTACATGTTATAGCACATAATTCGATTAACGTCATTGCGTCATCACACTATCCACATTTCCTCCAGAGGTTCATGTAATTTCGGGTGTTTCATTTTTAATTTGTCGACTGCAGTTTGGCACTTCCACTTTGATTCACAAACATTTCCTGCACGCCCTCCATGACAAACGAGATATTGGATGCAACTATGAACTTCTTGAAGAGTGTTGTTTTAACGGAGGTTCATACCTCATGCTGAATGGAAGAAAAAACCTCTGCATTTCACAGTGCAGGTGTCTGTGGTCTGCACTGACTGGGGAGGTGCAAAGAGTGTCAAACAGCCGTGTGTGTGTGTGTATTGCAAAACCCGGCGAAAAGTCCTAAATGACGGTAATAGTTTGATTAAGGTGTTTCCTTGTCTGTACTGTACTTCAATAATGCGACTAAAATCAGCATACTCCACACATTTTAATTCAATATCTCATTAGTTTGATTATGACCTTAATCTGATTAATCGAATATTGCTGTTTACATGGTGGACTCTTAATCAGAGTATTGTCTTATTCGCATTAAAATCGAATTATTGGTGTCCATGTAAACAGGGTCAATGTTATTTTGGGAGTCGCGGGCTGAAAAGTTTGGGAACCCCTGCTTTAATAGAAAATAATTTTGTTGAACTATTTAAACCAACCCAGGCTCATTCTGAAAATGTAGTCCTGTGGACGTTTCTGGAGACTGTTAAATATGTCCTGGGGGGTACATATGGCAGCATTTAGTTTTTTTTGAGCGAACACTACGGAACGGTATGACGACGTTCCCTTTCGCGCTTGCCGGCTGACCGCTTACCTCCGTGTGGTGAGCTTTCCCTTCACAACCAGTTTGTCCAGTCAGCTCATCGTGTGCGTCGGCAGACTACAGATGCAGAGAGGAGAAGTTGACCATGGCGACCGGGTTCGAGTCCGGGGAAGAGCGGTTCCAGAAATCAGATAAGACAAAAACAGAATCCAAAAATAAAGTGAACGAGTTCATGACAGGGTGAGAATGTGGTAAAATCTGAAAATGCGGTAAAAAATGGGAAGTAAGTGGGTGGGCAGGCGGGTCAATCGGTAAAATTGGTTGGGTTTAGGGAAGGAGGAGGGTAGTATCAACCGACTGGCCGGTCGCACAGTCAGTCATTCAGTCAGCGGACAGCGGCCTCTGGTGGGTCCAAGTGAGAACAGCAAGGGCGCGAACGACACTCGCGAGAGACATTTGAGATGCGAAAAAGCTCACATAGCGGCCTCTCGCAGATTCACGAAGACAAAAACTGCACAAATACCTACCTCCTGGGACGTATTTTGCGGTCTCCAGAAACGTCCGCGGGACTACATTATCAGAATAAGCCTGGGTTGATTTAAACAGTTAAGTCTTTGCGATGTGATTTTATATTTATTCTGCTTTTATGTTCGCTGAACTATCCCTTTAACTAAGTTTTTATTTATTGGTATTTTGTATTGTTCCTGACTTTAGAGCATCCAGGAAGTTGGTGGCTATGTTCTTATCGCGGTCAATACGGTTTCCAAAATCCCTCTGGAGAACCTGCGCATCATTCGCGGACACTCACTTTATGAAGACAAATTTGCCTTGGCCGTCCTGGTGAACTATAACAACAGCATCGAACAAGGCGTAAAAGAGTTGCCGCTGACTAGTTTAACTGGTATGTGTGTTTATATAAAACTGATCTCTGTGTATTTTTTTACTTCTTCTTCATCTGCTGCTAAATGAAAATAACACATGCTCCTGGCTATCCTTTATTTGCTCCTGGACATTCACTGAGTTGTTGTAAAGTCACTCCATTGATATTCTGGCGGTGTGCTTTGGGTCATTGTCCTGCTGGAAGATGAACCGTCGCCCCAGTCTGAGGTTAAGAGTACTCTGCAGCAGGTCTTCATTCAGGATGTCTCTGTACATTGCTGCATTCATCTTTCCCTCTATCCTGACTAGTCTTCCAGTTCCTGCTGCTGAAAAACATCCCCACAGCATGATGCTGCCACCACTATGCTTCACTGTAGGGATGGTATTAGCCTGGTGATGAGCGCTGCCTGGTTTTCTCCAAACTTAACGCCTGGCGTTCACTCCAAAGATTTTAATTTGAGTCTCATCAGAGCAGAGAGTTTAGTTTCTTATCGTCTGAGAGTCCTTCAGATGCCTTTTGGTAAACTCCAGGCGGGGAGCGGCTTCTGTGCTCTTAGTCCCTTTATTTATCAGGTGTGGCCACAGCAGAATGAACCGCCAACTTATCTAGCATATGTTTCACTCAGCGGATGCCCTTACAGCTGCAACCCAGTACTGGGAAACATCCATACACACTCATTCACACACACACACACACACACACACATATTCATACACTATGGCCAGTTTACTTTTTTCAAATTACCTATAGCGCATGTCTTTGGACTGTAGGGGAAACCGGAGAAAACCCACGCCAACACGGGGAGAACTGCAAACCTTCAAACTTCCATACTCAAACCAGCCACCTTTTTGCTGTGATGCGACAGTGTCAACCACTGAACCACAGTGTCACCTATCCATCAACTAATCGATTATCAAAATAAACAGTTGCAGGCCTAGAGAACATAAGCAAACGGAGCCCAGGGCACATATTTCACTGTTCTCAAAAGTGTAGCCCTGGGCACATATCTCCAAGGAGCCTAGGTTTTCTTTTGCACATCTGTTATCTTAGAGAGAAAAACATTAATTCCTATGCCCATCGCTGAACATTATATTTGGAAAATACTAATAGATCTGTAATTCAAATGTCGCTCTCAGTCAAGTCGGTCGTCTGTCAATGCATTGTTCATTTTTCATTTTAGAAATACTGAAGGGTGGAGTCAGATTTAACATGAACAACCATTTATGTAACGTGGGGACCATCGAGTGGGCCGACATCCTGAACATGAAGAGCCTGCCTACAATCGTGAGCCATAATATAAGCTATGGAAAAAACTGTACGTCCCTTAAGATTCTATATATGCATGCATGCAGTATATTAATTAGCATTAAAAACTGTACGTTTTGAATAAGAATGTTCTGCTTTACCTCCATCAGGTGGAAAGTGCGATCCAAGCTGTTTCAATGGCTCCTGCTGGGGCACCGGACCCGACAAATGCCAGAGAAGTAAGTACTTCCAAGCATTTCGTTACTTCTCTATTGAATTTTTATGTATTTCAACTTAAAAATAGTCCAAACCCGCCATATAGAAGTGTTTATGAATAAAGCTTTAATGAAACAAAGCCACAGAAGTGACTGAATTTTGCCCCTTTAAGCTATATATAGTCTACAAAAGCATTGTTATACAATAACTTAAACCTAATTACCCTAACCTGCCTAGTTAACCTAATTAACCTAGTTAAACCTGTAAATGTCACTTTAAGCTGTATAGAAGTGTCTTGAAAAATATCTAGTCAAATATTATTTACTGTCATCATGGCAAAGATAAAATAAATCAGTTAATAGAGATAATGAAAAAATCTGCTCTCCGTTAAACAGAAATTGAGGAAAAAAATAAACAGGGGGGCTAATAATTCTGACTTCAACTGTGTGTGTATATATATATATATATATATGATAATGATACAAGGCTACTACTGAAGGATACTCTTAATTAAAGCATTTATCAATGCCCCTTTTTACAAGATGTAAAATACGTCTCTGATGTGCCTAAAGTGTGCAAAAAATCTAAAGAATTTTATTCCATTTAAGTGAAGTTTATTTATAAACTAATTTCGAGAGGATCACATGCTTATGATTGAACACGGCTTGTCCCGCACTAGCTAACACATGATTCACCAATTAGATGATCCCAAACTCGCTATAAACAACCTAAAGAAAAAAAGTTTTATACAGATATTTTTCAAGACACTTCTATACAGCTTAAAGTGACGTTTAAAGGCTTAACTAGGTAAATTAGGTTAACTGGGCATGTTAGGTTAATTAGGCAAGTTATTGTTCAATGATGGTTTGTTCTATAGACTGCAGTTCTATAGAAAATATAGTTTAAAGGGGCTAATAATTTTGACCTTAAAATGTTTTTTAAAAAATTAAAAACTGCTTTTATTCTAGATGAAGTAAAACAAATAAGACATTCTCCAGAAGAAAAAAATATTATCAGACATACTGTTAAAATTTTCTTGCTCTGTGAAACATCATTTGGGAAATATTTAAAAAAGAAATCATTTATTTCCTTCTTGGCTTAGTCCCTTTATTCATCAGGCATTACCACAGCGGAATAAACCACCAACTTATCCAGCATATGTTTTACTCAGCGCATGCCCTTCCAGCTGCAACCCAGTACTGAGAAACACCCATACACACTTTTTCACACTCACACACTATGGCCAATTTAGCTTATTCAATTCACCTATAGCGCATGTCTTTGGACTGTGGGGGAAACCGGAGCACACGGAGGACACCCACGCCAACACAGGGAGAACATGCAAACTCCACACAGAAATACCAACTGACCCAGCCGGGCGGGCTCGAACCAGCAATCTTTTTGCTTTGGGGTGATTGTGCTAGCCACTGCGCCATCCTGGCACCCATTTATATATTTATATTATATATTTTCCCAGCATTATTACTGTGGTATGTAGTGTCAAATCATATGCTGATTTCATGATTACGAAACATTTCTAATTATTATTAAAAATTTTTACAAATTTTGTCATTTAGAGCATTAAAAAAAATAAAAAGGTAGCCTTGTCTTCACTCTGTTACCGGTCATTTCCGACAATTTGGCTGAAATGAGATTCACTTGTTTTTTTAGTTAATTCTTTTCATGCTATTCATTCTAAATTATATTCAGAAAAAAACTATTATTATGTTGAAAATGTCAGTAAATGTCTGTAAAAACCATGACTGAAACATTAATAATTAACATTAGACACTTTAACCAGTTTTAAGTATAAAAATGCATTTGATGTGGACCCTAAATTCCCATTTGTGTCAGCACACAATAGCATTGCAAAAAAAAAGAGTTCTGAAGGAACACTATTGGATTACTCTAAAAATATTTCTTCTGATTTGTAAGTAGTGTTTTTGTGCTCTTAAGTTTATTTAGTTGATCTTTGACTCACATTTTGCAACTGCTGTAAAAGCTACTTGACCCCTTGAGGACTGTTTTAAAAACTCTTCAGATGAATATTGAATTGTTGCTGCAATGTTGCATTGTGTAATGTTTTTTTTTTTCTTGTGTGTGAATTTAGTGACGAAAGTGATCTGTGCGGAGCAATGTTCAGGGAGGTGTAAAGGACCCAGACCCATTGACTGCTGTAATGAACACTGTGCTGCTGGATGCACTGGACCCAGACCTACAGACTGTCTGGTGAGAAACACACACACACACACACACACACACACACAATATGCTGCTCTTTTGTATTTGAATTTGTATATTATTATTATTATTATTAATAATAATAATAATAATAATAATAATAATAATAATAATAATAATAATAATAATAATAATAATTTGATGCTTCATCAAACATTGGTCTCTTTTGAGGAAGTGTCTATGTGGACACAACAATATGGACATGATTGAAAAAAATCTTTGTGGTTGTAAAAAAGTGACATTTTTACTATTAAAAATACCTGCCATAAGAAATAAATAATTAAACAAAATTAAATGAAAAACTAAACTAAATGAAAAATTAAACAAAAAACGAAAAGAAAAATGAAACAAACAGCAAAATAAAAAAACAAAAAACTGAATGAAATGAAACAAAAAAGTAACAAAACAAAAATTTAACCGAAACAAAAAACAAAACATAAAATGAAACTAAATGAAATGAAAAACTAAACTAAAAAAAAAAAAAAAAAAAAAAACTAATAGAAAAATTAACGGACAACAAAATAAAAAAATTAAAAATTAAACAAAACGAGAAATGAAATGAAAAACAAAACTTAACTAAAAATTAAACAAAATTAAATGAAAAACTAAACAAAAACTGAATGAAATTAAACAAAAACTGTAACAAAACAAAAAATGAACCGAAGCAAAAAAACAAAACATAAAATTAAACTAAATGAAATGAAAAACTAAACTAAATGAAAAATGAAGCGAAAGCAAAACGAAAAATGAAATTAAAAGATTAAACGAAATAGGAAATGAAATGAAAAACTAAACTAAAGATGAAACAAAATTAAATGACAATCGGAAACAAAAAAACTGAATGAAATGAAACAAAAAATTAACCGAAACAAAAAAACTAAACAAAACCAAAATTTTAATGAAATTAAATGAAAAACTAAACTAAGTGAAAAATAAAACGAAAAAATTAAACAAAAAAACTGAATGAAATGAAACAAAAAAAAATGTACAAAACAAAAAACTAAACAAAATGGAAAAATTAAACAAAACTAAATTAAATGAAGCAAAACAGGAAACAAAAAAACAAAACAAAATAAAACAAAAAAAAGAAACAAAAGCTACATAAAATATTTAACTAAACTAAATGAAAATGAAATGAAACAAAAAATGGGACAAAACAAAAAACAAGCCGAACGTGAAAGTCTCCTTTATAACAGTGAAGCTTTCATTCACAGCTGCATCAGGGCTGCGTTCAGATTACTGTGCTCATGTGAAATGCTGTGTGTGTTTGTGTCCTGCAGGCCTGTAAGGACTTCCAGGATGAAGGGACATGTAAGGACGCATGTCCGCGGCTCATGCTCTACGACCCAAACACACACCAGCTCGCGCCAAACCCATATGGGAAGTACAGCTTTGGGGCGACGTGCATCAAGACATGCCCACGTAAGTCTTTTATGTGAATTTGTGCTGTTCCAGAGTTTCTACAAGGGCTTACTTTTTTACAAAATCTAAATTATAGGCCTAAATTTAGAAGCTGCGACTATTTTTTTCTCTTCTTATTGTCACCCAGATCTTAGAGAAACAGAATATTAAATGAGAAAACAGTGGGCGTGTCCTAGTTTTTAAACTGCGAGCTGATTGGATGTAGTAAAGTAGGCATTTCATTCAGAAAGATGGAGAAAAGAGCTTGGGGGGAGTTATTACAGCCTAACAGACTCCTCCTCCATCTCTGTTGTCAAAACTGACAGCTGGAGGGGCGTGGTTAAGTATGTTAGCCACACCCTATACCCCCAGACAGACCTAATCTGAGAATTTAACTGAAAACAAACAAAGTGCTTTTTCAGATTTTAATTAGAAGCTGCGTCCCAAATGGCACACTATACACTATGCACTCATGCACTATGTACTTATGCACTTACACACTCAACAGGATAGTACATGTATGTAGTGTTGTCCCAAATGGCACACTAATGTTTTTTTACTAAACGGAAATTCAAACCGTTTCCCTGATGACGTTTGACGGTTGCCAAATCAGTGAAATAAACGACCGAATTATCAAATATTACCTATCGTGAGTATTGCCGCATTCACCATCGGGAGGCGATATAATCACTCTCGTAGGAGAAATTTGCTTTCTCCATCCAAAATAAATAAAGTTATCCAACATGTGCGTCCGATAGCTCCGCCCCTTCCGCTACGTAAGCAAACCTGCGGTCGTTGAGTGCGTGAAGTGTCCATCATTACACACTTCATTTTAGCGGCTGAATGATTGCATCATCCGGGTAATTAAAGTGCACTTATTATTTTAAGATTTTTCAGTATGAACACACTACTTACACTATTTATACTACAAAATGGCGTAGAATAGTGCATAAGTATGCGATTTGGGACGCAGCTTTAGATTACAAGGGCAAACTATTTTTCTTAACAACATGCACAGATGAACTGTTCAGCACAAAACTAGCAATGTGAGCGAACATAATCAATAAGATTAGTTTTGATTTCATGTAGACTTTAAAGTCTAGAATTTAATAAAGAATTGGAATAAGTTAAGGTGACGTAGATACACGTTTCATACATTTACTATAATTAACTCTAAAATTTAACCAGATTCTAAACCCAACCATATAGTAAGTACATGTCATTGATTAATGTTACTCAGTAGTTAAATGAATAGTTAGACTGTAACTACGTCACCTTAAATTAAAATGTCATCAAAAATTTCATTTGCTGGAACAAATAAAATAAATAACTATGTTGTTGTTTTTAGTGTTGTGTTGGGTAAGTAATTAATTACTAATTGCTTCATTAAAATTATTTGTACAATTGCTAGTTGTTAATTATTATTAAATTATTTAATAGTAATTGAATTAATTGACTCAATTAATTATTTAGAATGCCAATAAATATCAATGCATAAATACAACTTAATATGTGAATTATTTTAATTTGAGTCAAACATTGATTGAACTTTTTTCAAAGTTAAAGTAAACTTTTATTTCATTTTAAAGAATCTTTTTCATTTTCTGTTGGTCTTAGTACACGATGTAACCACAGAAGAGTCGGGCTTTAAATAGGAAAATTATTGAAGGTAATGGGATAGTACGATTCTAAGGGCCCAAGCACTTTAGGGACCCCAGGAGTTACAATTAGGAGGCCCCTAATACCCCCTGCCAACTTCAATCAAGTGTGTTAGGTGTAGTCAAAAATATTGATATTTCGATACATATCGATTCTGAAATATTTGAAATGATACGATTTTGCTGTTGGTTAGTATCGATTGTATTGATTTATGTGTTTTTGCTTTTTAAATATGCTAATGGTCCAATTCAATTCAATGATCTATGCTAAGCTAAGCTAAAAATACTCCCACCAGACACAGAGATTGGCTGAATCGACTGCAAAATAGTAAAACTCAACTGTTTACCTCTAGCAGATTTGTAATACGAGCCTATTTCCGAATAGATACTGTTCTTTTAAGGTCATTCAGAGTTCAAATTCAATCAAGTGTGTTAAGTGTTGTCAAAAATATTGATATTTCCATACATATCGATACTGAAATATTTAAAACGATACGACTTTGATGTTGGTTAATATTGATGGTGTTGATTTATGTGTTTTTGCCTTTAAAATATATCTTTTTGAGCAAGATGCTAATGGTCTAATCTGATTCAATGATCTATGCTAAGCTAAGCTAAATCAGTTGATTGGCTGAATGGATTGAAAGATGGTAAAATGCAAGCAGTTTACCTCTAGCAGACTTGTATTATGAGCCTATTTCTAAGTAGATAATGTTCCTTTAATGTCATTCAGAGGGTCGCTGCTAAGGGAGGCAAAGCTAGGATGATTCCAAGGGCTAACAAGGCCTCGCGCCCTTTTCTTTCGTTCGCGAAACAAACCCACCACCTAGCTCCGGGATCTCCCCAGCCCAAACCCGCCATCCCCGCTTCGGCACTATTCGGTTCACGATTTTTGCCTTTTACATTTCTCTTTTTGAGCAAGATGCTAATGGTCTAATCTGATTCAATGATCTATGCTAAGCTAAGCTAAAAGTACAGATTGCCTGAATTGATTGAAAATAGTAAAGCTCAACTGTTTACCTCTAGAAATGCTGTAAAATAAATCTATTTCCCCCAAAGAAGTGAATATTTCTTTTTTTTTTAGTCTTAAGACTGACCTAGTAAGACCTGCAGAAACTCTGTGTTCCAGCAGCTCGTGGATTCTGGAGATTAATCTTTCAGGGAAATGGGGTTAAAATATAAATGACTCTGTCCAGCTAAAGAGAGCGAGTCTGCATCTGTTGATCTGTTGCTCAACTCTGGTTTCTGAATAACGTTTCTCCATGACCTGAAGATTAGACACAAGCACCAGTTATTTAGCTTTGACTGGTTGTGGTTAATGGTGTTTTTTTGTCTGTTTTTTTCCTCAGACAACTATGTGGTGACGGATCACGGGGCCTGTGTGAGAACATGCAGCCCTGGCACCTATGAAGTGGATGAGGGTGGAGTTCGCAAATGTAAGAGGTGTGAAGGCCTGTGTCCAAAAGGTACAACTCAGACTGATTTTTGTTTCATTTCTAGTTTGACAAACGTAATGCGATTGCTTTTAGTTGTTTTAGTGGTATACAGGGTGTCCGCTGGGTCTAAAAAAGTATTGAAAGTCCATAAATCAGGGTGTAGAAATTTAAGGCCCTTAAGAAGTATTAAAAAGTCTTAAATGCTATTTTGCAAAGCATTCAATTTAATATTATTTTTGATTATGCAGGATATGGTAAAATTCACCTGAATTAAATCTGCGAATATCAGCATGCAGTGTTGTTTATGAAATCAGTGAAATCCTGCTAGATTTGACATCTTGCTGCTTTGTTTACCCCAGTAACCAAGACACCACCATAATTTCTGCAGTTCTATATGCACAAACCCGCTGAATTAGCTAGATTTGATAGATTGTTATTCAGTATATGAATAATGTTTTAGTTTGGGATTAGTTTCTTGCATTAATATTTAGTAAATATACTGTAAGTTAAAATCTCGCCAGTGTTTCCGTTTGAAAAGTGGTTATAAGGTCTTCAAATGTATGGAAAGAGTCTTAAAAGGGTCTTAAAAGGTATTGAACTTCACTCTCTGATTTCTGTATATACTCTAGTATAACAATACTTCTACTCTTTATTTGTATTACTAAATTAAATCAATATTCACATGTATCCTGATGAAATAATAAAATGCCTAAAATTAGTGCTATGCTATAGTTCTATATAGAAACTATATAGAACTATAGCATAGAAACTCTTCTTTGGGTGTCATAATCAAGTGTCTTTGCAATAATATTACACAGCGCTGTTACCTACATTGTAAAAAGATGCAGTGAAATGTACAGTATTGCTGGCCATTTTGGTTAATAAGCAGACTTGTAAAACAAGCCTATATCCTAATAAAGATGGAACATTCCTTTAAGGTCATTCAGAGTACAAATTCAATTAAGTATGTTCGAGTGCTGTCAGAAATGAAAGTGTTTTGATACATAGTGATACTTAAATATTAAAACGTTTCAATTTTGCTGTTGTTAGTATCGACAGTATTGATTAATGTGTTTTTGCCTTTTAAATCTCCCTATAAAATGAATGTAGGTAATCTCCCTGAGAGTAATTGGAGTTTTAGCTGACAAGAAAAAAAAATATGTCGAAAACATTGATGTAGGAACTGTTGTGCTAAACATTTACCCTAAAGATGTTTCAGCGAGCAGTTAAAATTAGGATAACACTTTTGTCCGTAATGTATGAGTGTGAGTTAGTGTGTATGGATGTTTCCCAGAGATGGGTTGCGGCTGGAAGGGCATTCGCTGCGTAAAAACGTACTGGATGAGTTGGCGGTTCATTCCGCTGTGGCGACCACAGATTAATAAAGGGACTAAGCTGAAAAGAAAATTTATGAATGAATGACTTTTGTTTTTATTAGAAAATAGCATAAGATTGGAAAAAATTTTAAAATGTTTTTTAAAAAAATCTACAATTTTTTACTTTTAATGTTGTGGAACTTTTTCCTCGTGGTATCCAAAAAAGGATCGAATATTGATATTTTTTCATGGTATCATACCAAAGTTAGAAATTTTATTATTGTGACAACACTAGAGTGTTCAGTGGTTTACACTTTAAACAAAACGAAACACAAGCAAAAAAAATAAATGAAATAAAAAAAACAAATGAAACAAAACAAAATGCTAATTAAATTAAATACAAACAAAACAAAACACATGCGAAAAATAAAAAAAGAAATGAAACAATCAAAAACAAAACAAAAAATCTAAAAGCAAGAATAAGAACAAGAATATATGACGGACATTTTCAGAAAAATGAGATTCGTAAAGAATCAAAATGGCATTGATTATCGATATTTTTAAAGGTATTGTATCAAAATTAGAAATTCCAGGATCGTGACAACGCTAGAGTGTTCAGTGTTTTACAGGTAGTGGAACTGTTAAATGTATGAGTTATTTCATGGCTAATTCTTCACAACAGAGCTGGAGTTAATATGTAAAGCACCAGCACAAGTAAAAAAAACAAACAAGCTAAACAAAATGTAACACAAGGAAAAACAAACAAAATGAAACAAAACAAACAAAAAAAGTGAAAAACAAATTAAACATAAAAAACTAAACACAAGCTAAAAACAAAGAAAGAAAACAAAAACAAACTAACTGAAACAAGCAAAAGCAAACACAAACAAACTAAAAGAAACACAAGCAAAAACAAACAAAACAAGACAAAACACAAGCAAAAAACACACAAATAAAAAGCAACAAAACACAAATAGAAAACAAACAAAATGGATAAAAAAAACTAATAAAATGAAACAAAGAAGAAACCAAAAAACAAAACAAAACAAAACAAATAAAAACAGACGGAGATCAAACAAACGGACAAAAAACAAATAAAATGGAACAAACAAAAAAGAAATGAAAAACAAAACAAAAAAACAGACGGAAATCAAACAAACGGACCAAAAATTAATAAATTGAAACAAAAAAAAAAGAAAAAAAAAAAGAAAAAAGAAAAACAGACGGAAATCAAACACAACTGACAAAAAACGAACAAAATTAAACAAACAAAAAAAGAAAAAAGGAAAAAACAAAACAAAAAACAAGACAAAAAAATCAAAAAGCAAAAATCTAAACAAGTATATGTGACCCTGGTCCACAAAACCAGTCATACAAGTAATTTTCGGAAAATAAGATCCGCGCATTATCTTAATGAGATTACTGAAATTTGTGCAGTATAGTAAATGGTATTGAATATCAATATTTTTAAGGGGTACCCTATCGAAGGTAGAAATTCCAATATTATGACAATAATAGAGTGATTTACAGGTAGCCGAATGTTGAATGTATGATTGTCCTCAGATCTAATTCGTCACTACAGGAGTTAATATGTGTGTTTCTTTCCAGTGTGTAATGGGTTGGGAATGGGGCCTTTAGCCAATGTCCTGTCAATCAATGCCACCAACATCGACTCCTTTGAGAACTGCACTAAAATCAGCGGCAATGTTGCCATCCTCAGCACCACATTCAGAGGGTGAGGAAGAGCATTTACACTTTCTGATATCAGTTCATGCTTAGTGTCCTGCCATCTACAAGTATCTTTTGAATATTAGTTGCTCAGTATCTTTTACTAGTCATGATTAAGCCAATTTTTTGATGTCTTCCTCACTTTGGTGACTGTTGGGATCTGTTAATCATTTGTTATAAGAATATTTATTTCTTTATACATAACAGTGACCCACATACTAACACTTCAGGACTGGATCCAGCAAAGCTCAGTGTATTGAGTACTGTCAAAGAAATCACTGGTGAGAATCTTGTGCAGGTTTTGAAATGAAACAGTAAATTTAGCCGTTCCATGTTCATAAACGTCTCTAAAGATCTTCCTCTTGTCTCGACTCAAAGGTTACCTGATGATTCAGCTGTGGCCGGAGAGCATGCAGTCCCTTAGTGCCTTCGAAAACCTTGAGGTCATCCGAGGACGGACAAAAACACAGTGAGCTTCAAAATAAATAAATAAATAAATAAATAACAGGGCTTGACTTTAACTTGTTTGATCGCCAGCCACTGTGGCTAGTAGTTTTCCACCTTTACTAGCCACTCAACTTTTTTACTAGCCACAATTTTGTTGTTGGGAAAATATATTTAAAATGCTTTAATTTGTCTTTGGCATGAGTTGCGGCATGCTAAAATTACCATTTGTGTTTTTTCCACTTGCCATCTCGTTCATTTAACTGCTTTTTTATGAGCTTACTCAATGAGCATGAGCAAATGGGTTATTCATTCATTCATTCATTTTCTTGTCGGCTTAGTCCCTTTATTAATGCAGGGTCACCACAGCGGAATGAACCACCAACTTATCCAGCAAGTTTTTAAGCAGCGGATGCCCTTCCAGCCGCAACCCATCTCTGGGAAACATGCACACACACATAGACTACGGACAATTTAGCCTACCCAATTCACCTGTACCGCATGTCTTTGGACTGTGGGGGAAACCGGAGCACCAAGAGGAAACCCGCAGTGAGAACATGCAAACTCCACACAGAAACGCCAACTGAGCCAAGGCTCGAACCAGCGACCCAGCGACAATCTTGCTGTGAGGCGACAGCACTACCTACTGCGCCACTGCTTCGCCCAAATGGGTTATGCCTAAAAAATAATAAAAAAGTGTTGCATTGCAATTAGTTTTCTTTCATGGGACTTTTCAGGCCTCAACACAATAAGGATTTACCTTTTGTTTCTCTGGCCACACCATACTAATCATTTCCTTGCCACAAATTTTAAATGATGTGTCAAAATAAGCAAAATGCTGCCGTATACACACACTTTTTATTTAACAAAACAGCTTGCATTGAAAAAATACATATGCTCACGCATCTAAAACTATGCACAGTGATCTGTTCTGGCTCATGATCCCAGGTCACCAGTTAACTATGCATGCAGCAACATATTAAAGCAGTATTATTGTAAAGGATAATTATTAAACTATATTGACAAATATAACAGCAAGCAAAAGAAAGCGGGTAAAAAACATTCTGTGTCCGATAATGGAAGGATGATGCAGCACACACGGTTAATGCCAATTAATAATCTGTTCAAAGTATGGTTAAAAAGCTGGTCGTGCCGCTTCTCGATTCTAAGATCACATTTGTACGCATATAGACAAACAGTCACAAACTAACAGTTTAATCTGTCGTGACAATGAGCCAGCACTGGCAATTTAAAAATAAGTTTCAGCCAGACGAAGTGGGAGTGGCTGTCTAACCCGCTAGAGCTTAAATCTACCTGCTTTTGGTGGGTTGGCGGTTGTTAATGTAAAGCCCGGAATAAGAGTACTCAAAATTGCTCTTTTAAGTATTATAGAACACATAAAACATGTCAAGGTGGCTCAGTGGTTAGCACTGTCGCCTCACAGCAAGAAGGTCACTGGTTTGAGTCCCAGCTGGGTCAGTTGGCATTTCTGTGTGGAGTTTGCATGTTCTCCAGGTGCTCCGGTTTCCCCAACAAGTCCAAAGACATGCGCTATTGGTGAATTGAATAAGCTAAATTTGCCGTGGTATTTACCAAGCCATTGAACTATACAAACTATATAAGAGTCTATAAGAACAAAAGAGTTTATAAAAACAAGAGATAATGGAAAACTGTTCAGAAAGCAGATTTTATTTTTGCACTGATAACCCTGTTTACATGTGATTGAATGAAAAAAAAATGCATCTTAATATCAGGTTAATACAGGGACTTACAAATTACGACACGTGTGCTAGATTTTTTAAGATACAACACAACAAAAAACTTTTTTATTGCTGCAGTGAATTTTTCCTAGATTGATGCTCCTAAAATGAATCGCTTTGTTGAGTGTGTTTTGAATTTAAAGTTGAGTGTGTTTTGCTCTGTTTCCACAGAGGAACGTACAGCTTTGCTGTCACCAAGACGGCCATCACTCATTTAGGCATGCGTTCTCTGAGGGAGATCAGTGACGGGGACGTGTCCATCGTTAAGAATAAGAATCTCTGCTACAGCAGCCCTGAACACTGGAAACGCCTCTTCAAGTCCAAACAACAGTCGGTCAAAATGATTGAAAATATGGATGCTGCCACCTGCGGTAATACATTTGCAGGATAATGTCTGTCAAAGAAGATTTTGAATACAAAAGAATTTGCTACAAACCTGATACCTTTTTATGGAGTCAATCTAGGGCCATATATACTTGCAAAATTAAAAGAAAGTTTTGCAAACAAAAAATAAAGTATTGAGCAAAAAATAAATGAATAAATGCAAGTCTCCAAAAATAGCAAAGCGAAAAATTATTTTTGAGAAATAAAAATTAGTTTTGCTAGCAAAAATAAAGAACTGCAAAGGGAAAATTAAGTTTTGCGGGGAAAAAAATGAAATTTGCAAACAAAAAAAAAGAACTGCAAATACTATTTAAGCTGTGCAAAAAAACTGAAATATTTTAATAACTTATTAACTTTAAAACTGTCATAATACAGCAAGTATTTAGTTTGGGCCAGCTTTTGCAGCTGGACATTGCTTTACAATGCCCTTGATGGGTGAACATTAGCTAGTGGGGGAGTGTCTTCAGGTGTGAATTATTCATGACCATTGTCACTCCCACGCATACAGCTGAGATAATCCAAAACAAACTTTACAAAATGCAAATCAAAACACTTTACAATACGGTTCATTAGTTAATGCATTTACTAACATGGACTAATCATGAACAACACATGTACAGCATTTATTAATCATAATTAAACATTTACTAATGCATTATTAACATCCAACTCCATGCTTGTTAACATTAGTTAATGCACCATGAGTTAACATGAACTAACAATGAACAACTGTATTTTCATGAACTAACGTTAACTAACATGAACAAATACAGCAGTAAATGTATTGTTCATTATTTGTTCATGTTAGTAAATGCATTAATTAACATTAACTAACGAACCTTATTGTAAAGTGTGACCAATGTTTTCTTTAAATGAGAGAAGATACTAATTTTCACATAACATTGTAACAATTTTAATCCCTGTTTCAGAACAAGAGATTCAATCCACAGGTGTGAAAGCACCCTAAATATGTCAAAAACAAACACTGTTAAATTCAACTAATTGCATTTATATCACTTTAAAACAAAATTAAAACTAATTCAAGTACATTCATGTGTCCAAATACAGCATTCAGTTTGCACAAAAACTCTATTCTTTCATATCTTGAGTGAACCATTTGTTTAAATACAAGCCTACATTTGTAATGGACGGTGTTTCAGATATTTGAATCGATTGCTGGAGCGGGTAACTTGTGCTGATATGTTGTTTTATCATCTGTGTTACAGCCAATCAGAACAGCACATGTAATGAGATGTGCACGGCTGACGGCTGCTGGGGTCCCGGCCCCACCATGTGCTTCGGCTGTGAGCATTACAGCCGCGGAAAACACTGCGTGGCTTCTTGCAACCTGCTGAATGGGTGAGGGAGAGATCTAATACCACTTTATCCATGTTTACATTCAAATAAAAGATATAAAAAGTGCCATTTCAGTGCAAAAGAGCAGTTAAATATGTAGAATTTGTTAACACAATGAAGCCTGATAGCATTTTTTGTAATTAAACTACTCATTGGACCTAGAAAAAAATAGGATGAATTAATACATGAATAAACATAGGCTTATAACCAATTACTCATGTTTCTGTTGAGCTTATAAATGCAAAGACCAATCAGAGGCTTTAGATTGGTCATTGGTGGCGTTTTGTTGAGTTTGTTGCTCTCACTGAACACATGTGTTGAATTATAACCGTATTTCTGCATATCCTCACATTAAATTGAATTGTCATGTGCTTTTCCTCCAGACAAGTTGTTTTGATATGCATTGTTTTAAGTAATCATAAGCATTGGTATTTTATTATCTGGTGCAATAATTGCTTATTTGACTCGGTTTTGCAGCTTGTCTCTGTTGTCTCTGCCCATCTCTGTTGTTTAAAAAAAACCTAATTTACATACAGTTTTAAAAATTGTATTAAATTATTAAAATACAATATAGAGATAGGTAGTTAAGTGTTTATAAAAATTGTCCTTTGATAAAAAAGTGTCTCTGGAAACGGGCAAATATTGTCTCTTAATAGAAACTGACCATATTTTTGTTGCAAGAAACATGACAGGAAGTGATGTGGGGGATAATGGGGAGAATATTTGGAGGAGTGGCTCATTTAGCTGTGCATTTGGCAGCAGGATCATTAGAAATACAAGCCTAAGCCTACATTTTTGCAAATCGTAACAAATATGTAGTTCCAGATATGTTTCTCTATGTTTTCTAATCCACTAGAGGGCGCTGTCTACATTTGTGCAAATCTGAAATGCGTTACTTACCGTACGTTCACACCGAAAGCGGCGAGAGCGTCAAAGTTGCCAGAAGTCATTCATTTTCAATAAGAGCCGGCGGTGATAAGCATATCTTATAACTTAATAAATCAAGTCAACTTTATGGTAAAGCAAGCAATCAGAATGAAGACGCCCACCGCTTGATCGGAGTTCAGAGAACACAGACCTGTGAACTTTGGTTCTGACAACAGTTGTTCCCAAGGGTTTGATGATTGCGGTCGCCGGATTTCCAATTATTTACAATGTTGTCTTACAGGAACATGCATTAAATAAGTTACTGGTGAGTTACTGATGTGCTTTAATGTTATATATATTTATCTTTAAAAAGCGGGAATCTTACGTGACGTGACAGTACAAAACAGTATAGCTGCTTCAGGATATTTCAGACATATAATCACATTGGATAAAAAGAGCAAAGCCACAATACACGCAACTTGATCTTCCATTGTTATATGAATTTGATAAGAAGTGCGCAACATTTTCACGCTAGAAACATGTTTTATGCAGGAATGTAACTGATACGCTGCAACGACTTCTTTAACTATGAGATCAATGTATCGAGTTTTGACGCTCTCGCCGCCGGAGCTGAAGGTAGACAACGTTGTCACCAGGGCGGCCAGAGCAACCTTGGTCGCTCTCGCCGCTTCCGGTGTGAACGTACAGTTACACACCAAACACGCTTTTTGCGTTGAGAGGCGCATCTTTTGAATGGCTTACTAACAGCCACGAGTGTTTTACGCGCTGCTTATGTGCCCTGCGTGCCTCAAGTTTTAACCGCCTGCTGCACTATTCGTTTTTGCTATTGCGCGATGTAGACTCGCAGTTAAAAAAAGTCAACTCTGAGCGGAAAAGCATGTTACGTCAGTCCCGTCCTTTTAATTCTCTAATCAAGTGAAAGCAGAGGCAAGGTTTTCGTTAAGGGTGACTGCAGCGTTTGTGTGACTACAAAGCCTTTTAAAGATGAAGGAGAGGCTAGCGGTCGCTGTTTCAAGTTATCCAGAGCTTTACAAATCTTGAATATCACAATATTATTGAATATTACAATTATAACAATATCAACAGCAACACTCGCGCATGATATGCAGCTGATAGTCGTTCCCTAGTGACATAACAAACAATCTGCGCTGCTTTTTTTTTTTTTCTTATCCATAAGCGTTTTCAGTGTGATCGGCCCCTTAGAGTGCGCTTTGTTGTATATTTCAATTAAACGCATTTGCCAAAATGAAGCTACAGAAACTGTTGTAAAAACACAGTGACCAAGCCCCTCCCCCAAGAGAATCTTCCGTCTATATTAATCAATGATTGGCTCTTTTACTAGAAGGCGGGGCTTCATTCGCTAGAAAGTCTATATTGACCTACAGTATACAGTTAAAGTCAATATTATTCACCCTCCTTTCTAAATTTTCTTAAATCGGTTGGGTTTAGGGAAGGAGGACAGTAAGGGTGCTTTCACACCTAGACCTTTGTTTCGGAACCTGTCATTTGGCATATGTGAAACCAGCAATCGCACTAGGATCCGTGCCAAATCAATCGCTCCGAAATTGCTTGAATGAAGTGGTCTCGGCTTGATTAAAATGAACTCTGGAGCGGTTCGATTGCAGTGAGAAAGCGATACGATCCGAGCGCGGTTATATCACTGTGTTTTATGGATATGTAATAGGCATATGGCTATATGAAGAGAGAATTATGAGTTGGGCGGGAAGTTTCGTGAGTCTTCAGGATGCCCACAAACGAGTGATGATCTCCCGATAATCTCGTGTCTCCCTCCCCGTCCTCAAATAGGCTACGTCGCGCATCTTTTTCACCCCCCCCCCCCCCCCAATGCATCTCTCCTCACTCTTCAGACATGTTGCGCGCACCTTGTTAAACTCCACCAAACCACCACCTCTCCTGACAGCTGAGCAGGACTCTGCAAAATAAACCGTGAAACTCTGACCAATGTGAGGAGAGTTTACTCGCACGTGACTTGTTTTAGCTCTTTTGGTCCGTTTAAAAACTTTGCAGTGTGAAAGCGAACCGCTCCAAGAGCAAAGAGCAACAATGTAACAATTGTGATCTCTGTTTCGGAACAACTGAATCGATTCACAGGTGTGAAAGCACCCTAAATCACTCATTCAACAGCAGGATTTACGTGAGAACTTAAACAGCAGATGCGAATGGCTATCACAAGAGAAATTTGAGATCTGAAAAAGCGCACACAGCAGCCTCAGCTGTATTCGCAACAACAAAAAGTGCAAAAAAGCGTACCTCCTGAGACGTATTTGGCGCTCTCCAGAAATTATTCTAGGGGTTCGTTTTTTAGAACGAGCCGGGGTTGCATTAAGCTGTCGAATTGACGATTTCAGCAATAGTGACCAGAATGTGTTTTTCTTTCTGTCTCTACAGTGAGCCGCGTGAATATGAGGTCAATAAAACATGCATGGAATGCGATCCTGAATGTCTGCTCATGAATGAAACCCAGACCTGCAACGGCCCTGTGAGTTTCAAACCAAACATGTTCTGCTTCTGTAGATATCAGATACAAAATGCTGACTCTCAAAGCAATGTATTCCGTCCCGGAGACACATCGTTAAATTCACATCAACTACAAGACCGTACAATTGCTGTTTGTTGCTATATAATTGCCAACATTTTGTCCAGGGACCCGACAAATGTACAGTGTGTGCAAACTATAAAGACGGACCGCACTGTGTGCATCGCTGCCCGCAAGGTGTACCAGGAGAGAAAGACACACTCATCTGGAAATACGCTGACGTGACACACGTTTGCCAGCCCTGTCATGAAAACTGCACCCAGGGGTGAGACAGACATCGCATATGAGCCTTTCAATTCAATGAAAATACACAAAACACACACTTCCCAGCAGGCACACGACATTATGAGACGTTAGTATTAGGTAGATTTAGTAAGGTGACGTCAGGTGACCAAAATTTAATGTCTAGTCAGTGTCTAAAGATAACGTTATTTTGACGTCCAATAACAATGTCAAATGACGTTGATGTTTGGTTGATTTTAGGTTGTGTTGGAAAGTAACCAAAATCCAATGTCGAGCCAACATCTTAAACCAACGTCATATTTACGTCAAATACTGACAATTATTCGTCAGGTATGGCAACCAAAATCCAACATCTAATAGACGTCATAGTGGTAACGTCCACACAACGTCAAGCTGTAACATCATTAGACGTTGATATGTTGTTGATTTTAGGTTGGACATTGGACATTAACGTTGACCTGATGTTGGGTTCTGATGTCAGCCTGATTTTCATTTCCAAACAAAATGCCACGTCCCTTCGATGTTGGAGTACAACGTCAATCTGACGTCATGTCGATGTCCTGTGATTGGTGTCATTTAAGCTGTGCTATCAGGCTGTGTATGTAGTTGCGCATGATGGAGTTTGTGTATTTTTCTTTGCAGATGTACGGGGCCTGATCTAAAGGACTGCAAAGATTTCAAAAGGTAAGACGCAAATCTGGGGCTGCATGATATCGGGAAAATCTAATTTTGCGATATTTAATTTTTCTTCGATAAGTATTGCGATACAAATACAGTTACATGAGATAGTTTGATGGTTTTCTGGGAATACTAACAGCATTTAGGTACAGAAATTCAATCATCCCAAAATAAAAAATGCTTTTCTTTAGTCCAAATACAGCGGAGAAAATAAGTATTGAACACATCAAGTTTTTTTTTCTGGAAATAATGTTTCTAAAGGGGCTGTTGACATGGATTTGAACCAGGTTTTGGTCAAAACCCAAACAATACCAACATAATAATAAAACAAAACAAAAAAATCTGTAATTGTAATAACAATGAAATGACAAGAAAGTTATGAACTACTAAAACTTATTTAATACTTTATATAAAAGGCCTTTTTGGTGATGGCAGCTTAAAGACCACTCTCATGTGGAAAATGAAGTCACAAGTTTGATGGTTCTGTGGGTCTCCTCTAATAAATCCAAGCATTTTTGCTATTCTCTATTGGATTCAAGTCAGGTGATGAGCTGGGCCATTCTACGGCTTTATTTTCTTTCTCTGAAAGCATCTGAGAGTTTCCTTGGCTTTGTTTTGGATCATTTTCTTGCTGAAATGTCCATCCTGGTTTCCCCTTCATCCTCCTGCTAATGTAGATGTTGGACTGAAGCAGCTGATATCACATTCAGCTGGGTTGCTGAAGAACTACTGAGAGACTTCAGCTGCTGTCTTGGCCTTCCATACCCTGTTACACCTTCCTTTCTTCATGTGGTCAATACTTTTCTCCTGTGTCATTTTATTTTATTACACATAACTTAATTGGTAAACTAATTAGATTTATTTTCCTTGCATATATGCATTTCTTCTGTTGTTACCAATATCTGGTGAAAATTTCAAATCAATAGCACCTTTAGAAATATGTGTTCTGAGTAAAATGGTGACGTGTTCAATACTTATTTCCCCCGCTGTATCTAAAAAAATCTTAGATCATTAAAAATATTGTTTAGATTTCATCTTCAGAAGTAATAAGTCAAAATTAAGAGTTTACAATTATCTGCCAGTGGGGTGAGTAAAATCTTGTTTTTGCTTTGAAATGTTGATATTCGGACTAGAAACAAGATGAAAATTCTATGTAGAAAAACTTAATAGTTAATTGTTTAAATCCAGAATAAATACAGTTATTAAGTTCAATCCTGTAGCTCCTGGTCAACTATAATTCAGACTTTTGCATATCTTGCGATGTGACTATTAGATTAGATTAGATTCAACTTTATTGTCATTACACATGTACAAGTACAATGCAACGAAATGCAGTTTAGGTCTAACCAGCAGTGCAATAGCAGCAAGTGCAGGATACAGGAATAAGTTATAAAGTGCAGTTATAGAAAACTATGGTGAAAACTATGGTGATATATTGCGCATGCTCACATTGCAATATCGATGCTGAAACGATATATTAATGCAAACTGTGATGTTCTGGAAAGATACTGTTCCACATTGTTCATTTTGTTTCTGTTGGAATTCTAATAAACAGACTTGGAATGTATATTTAGAATATGATTCTGCATGCTCAAATCTTCATGACAATAGATTTCTAGGATTATATGAGTAGAAACAGAGAAAAAATGTTGTGCTTTTCTGCTGAAACAAATGCAGAAATATGCAGATATGATATATTAGCAAAGATGTTTATTAAAAAAAGACTTTTGCTAATGTTCAAACTACTTGTTTAAAATGAGGTGAAACAACACAATTCTAATGTTTGTCTTAAGACAACTTAATTGTTTTATGTTCAGTCCATTAAAATTAGTAAAATTATTAAGTTAACTTATTTCATTTGTTTTGGGACAAGATGAAGAAGTTGGGAATCCAGCATTTTTTACAGTGAGAGATGTTTCTTCCTGCAGCTCTGGTTTGCCGATGATAGCTGCTGGCGTTGTCGGAGGTCTACTGGCGTTTGTTATTCTGGCTCTTGGAGTGGCCGTTCTCCTGCGCAGACGCCACATCCGGAGGAAGAGGACTCTGAGACGACTCCTGCAAGAGAGAGAGGTCAGACCACATTCAGATTATGAATATTCATTGTTTACTTTGCTTTAGTTCATTTATGGTGACACAGTGGCTCAGTGGTTAGCACTGTCGCCCCACAGCAAGAAGGTCACTTGTTCAAGTCCCGACTGGGCCAGTTATCATTTCTGTGTGGAGTTTGCATGTTCTCCCCGTGTTGGTGTGGGTTTCCTCCGAGTGCTCCGGTTTCCCTCACAGTCCAAACACATGCGCAAACCGCATACTTCCATACTATAGATTACGCTAAAATCAGTATGCGAGCCGAGTATTATGTCCGAATTCATAGAATTCGAAAATCAGTATGCGAGAAGTACCCGGATGACTTACTACTTCCGGCGAGATTCCGGAGTGCGCATCCCATGCATCCCAAACGTACTTTTCTAACGGCCGAGTAGTACGTTTAAATTCAAATGCAGTACCTACTGAGTAGTAGGCGGTTTCGGACGCAGCCATAGGCATTTGTAGCTCCGCCTACAGTACACAAACTCATTTGAATTTAAAGTGACAGTGACCAAAACTGCAAAATTTGGATCAAAGCCTAAAAGAGACAGATTTAAAAAGTTATAAAATGTGATTTGTGTGGTGTAGCTTTACACACACACACACACACACACACACACACACACACTCTAGGGGCATCGGAGACTCATCTTGTAAAAAGAGACATAATAGATCTCCTTTAAGACCTGCCAAAGATCAGATATTTTTATATTTTATGTCCTGATATGGATAAATTGTAATTTTAATAATAGTGTTCTAAGGCCCTGTTTACATGAGTGCATTTTAGTTTTAAAACGGCGTTTTAGAACGAAAACGATCTGCATCAACACTGGCGTTTCACCCAGCATTTCTAAACAACTCTCCGTCTACATTACACTGCTGGAAATGCGCATCATGTGACCACACACACACACTTTGGCATGCGCTGCAGCATATCTACCCAGATGAGAGCTGTGCTCGTCAGAGTGTTCATCAAGCATCTCCCGCTGTATCCAATCTCACTATATTTGCTAAACGTGATATTTAATTAATCTTGTTGTCTATATCTAACGACATACTCCCCGACTTTGGTCTTTTGAATCTATTGCCTGTTCTCAGGTAACGTGTTAAAAGATAAGGTAATAATTAATGTAACCACATACATTCTGTATATTGACTAATCGCTCACCTTTATTTCCTATAATGTATAAACTTATTGTACGTTATACTTTTATAATGCCCATTATTAATTATTATAAATGATATTTAGCAAAAGAGAGAGTGTGTTTTGTATCTTCAATGAAAATGAAAGGAGGCAGTTGTTATAGGCTCCGTTTTCTTATAAATACGCATACAGTGAAGATGGCGCTCATATATGCAGCACGACGCCTCAACATTTCTGCTGTCTGTTAAGTTGTGAATATCAAAATGAAAATAGCAGTTCCTTAAATCATGTTTTCATTTTATTATTAAGATATAGTGAAACAGTGTAGGCTACGTATCCAGAATGATGCGAAAAAGGTTATAAATTATACGTTTCCCTTTGATTTACCCGTCGTGTCCTCGGGAGTTTGTTTTCCATATCAAACTTACAAAGTCTGAACTTACAAGGAGAGGATGCAGGACTGAAGTGTGTGTTGGCTACTTAATAATGAGGAAAAGCCCCAATCAGAGAGGAGAATGTCTGCAGCCCCGCCTCCGTTTTCAGATGTCTCAGTTTTTCTCTATCCACACTGAGACGGAGCAGCAGCGTTTTAGAATGAAAACGGCCTCTCCAGCATTTCCAAAATGCTCGGTTTTTGGCGAAGTGTAGACGGATGGCTAGCAAAACATGCATTTTAAAACGAAAAGTGTAAAGAGGGCCTAATCGTTTTACATGTTTGTTTTTTGTCTCAACAGCTTGTGGAGCCTCTGACCCCCAGCGGCGAAGCCCCCAATCAGGCCTTACTGCGCATCCTCAAAGAGACGGAGTTCAAGAAGATCAAAGTGCTGGGCTCCGGGGCTTTCGGCACTGTGCACAAGGTACTGACCTGTTTCTTAATATCACACACTGTGTTTCAATACTGTGTGCATTTATTGACTCATCATTTCATGGCTCGCTAATTCCTCGAAATCCTCATAAATAGCTGGTGATTTGCATAAATAAACATGACCTATTTTATCTTGAGAAAACATCAGCTGTTAAATCTCATGCACGGTGGCTCAGTGGTTAGCACTGTCACCTCACAGCAAGATGGTCGCTGGTTTGAGTTCTGGCTGGGCCAGTTTGCATTTCCGTATTGAGTTTGCATGTTCTCCCCGTGTTGGTGTGGGTTTCCACCGGGTGCTCCAGTTTCCCCCACAAGTCCAAACACATGCGCTATAGGTGAATTGGGTAAACTAAATTGGCCGTAGTGTTTTTTCCTTTGACTTATCAAGTGTATGTGTGTGTGTGTGTGTGTGTGTGTGTGTGTGTGTGTGTGTGTGTGTGTGTGTGTGTGTTGCTGCAGGGCCTTTGGGTTCCAGAAGGAGAGAATGTGAAGATCCCTGTCGCCATCAAGGTCTTAAGAGAAGCCACGTCTCCCAAAGCTAACAAGGAGATAATGGATGTGAGTATGAGATTCTGAATTCAGGTGTTCACATTTGACCTTATTTATGACCTTATTTTAGACCAGTGGAACTTACAGTTGAAGTCAGAATTATTAACCCTCCTGAATTATTATCCCCCCTGTATATATATATATATTTTTTTTTTCTTCCAAATTTTTGTTTAAGAAAACAGAAAAAATCTGAGAAGATTTGTAAATGGAGAACACATTTCTAAACAATATTTTTAATAACTCATCTCTAATAACTGATTTATTTTATCTTTGCCGTGATGACAGTAAATAATATTTGACTAGATATTTTTTCAAGATACTAGTATTCAGCTTAAAGTGACATTTTAAAGGCGTAACTGGGTTAATTAGATTAAAGTTAGGGTAATTATGCAAATCATTGTACAACTCAGTTGGCGTTTCTGTGTGGAGTTTGCATGTTCTCTCTGCCTTCGCATGGGTTTCCTCCGGGTTTTCTGGTTTTTCCCACAGTCCAAAGACATGCGGTATAAGTGAATTGGGTAGGCTAAATTGTCTGTAGTGTATGAGAGTGTGTGTGAATGTATGTGTGGATGTTTCCCAGAAATGGGTTGCGGCTGGAAGGGCATCCGCTGTGTAAAAACTTGCTGGATAAGTTGGCGCTTTATTCCGCGACCCTGGATTAATAAAGGGACTAAGCGGACAAGAAAATGAATGAATGAGCTATCTAAAAATATATATTGCTTAAGGGGGATAATAATATTGACCCTAAAATGGTTTCAAAAAAATTAAGAACTGCTTTCATTCTAGCCGAAATAAAACAATTAAGACTTTCTCCAGAAAAAAAAATATTATAGTAAATACTGTGAGAATTTTCTTGCTCTATTTTGTAAATATAATCTGTATATTTATAATGCTAATCGTTTATAATTAACATTATAAATATATTTTCTGTCATTCATTTTTAAATATCCTGTTTAATGTTAAATCATAATAGAAAATAGACAAATATGTTGATCAATTTGTATTTACTGTAAAAAATACAGTGCACGGGAGCATGTCATTAAATATTGTAAGGCAACCTGCTATGCAGTTTTTTTTTTTAGTTGACCAAACTCTCAACCCAAGTACTGCAGTTGACTGGATTTAAGTTGAGTCAACTCAAAAAAAGCTGTGCAGCAGGATACATTACAATTTTGAGTCAGTGTTTCTTAGGTGATGTATATATATATATATATATATACATCACCTAAAAAACACTGACTCAAAATTGTAATGTATCCTGCTGCACAGCTTTTTTGAGATATATATATATAGTTGAAGTCAAAATGATTTGCCCTCCTGTGAATTGTTAAACATAATTTGGGACATATTTAAAAAAATAAAAACGGAGTAAGGAAATTTTCACAGTGTGTCTGATAATATTTTTTCTTCTGGAGAAAGTCTTATTTGTTTTATTTTGGCTAGAATAAAAGCAGTTTTAAATTTTTTAAAAGCAATTTTAAGGTCAATATTAGTAGCCGCTTTAAGCTATATATTTTTTTCAATCTACAGAACAAACCATTGTTATACAATAACTTGCCTAATTACCCTAACCTGTCTAGTTCACCTAATTAACCTAGTTAGGCCTTTAAATGTCACTTTAAGGTATATAGAAGTGTCTAGAAGAATATCTAGTCAAATATTATTTACTGTCATCATGACAAAGATAAAATAAATCAGTTATTAGAGATGAGTGTGTTGAAAAATCTTCATTATGTGTTGAAAAAATTAACAGGGGGGCTAATAATTCTGACTTTAACTATATGACAAGGAAATATTTAGTATCCTTCTCATTCATACATTTCAAGTTTGACTTCTGTTTTCAAATATGTCTGTAATCATTAACATCTTTTGGTGTGTTGCTTAATATGCTAATTATTCAAGCCTGTTTTAGCTAGTAGAAAAGCATTCCTCACATTTCTCTTACACATTAGCAAAATCACACTCTTTTCTCCTCATGCTCTCCCTGTAGATGGAATTATTCATGAATCTGTCCGTGCAATTTTGTAAATGATTCCAGCAATCGCAGACAGTGAAACTGACTTTTGATCGCTCCAGTTCAAGCAGTGATTGTGCAGAAATGCTGAAAATCTGCTCACATAACCTTGAGTTAAAGGCTATCCTGACCCAGAGCAAACTAAAACATGGAGGAGAAACTCTGAAAGGTCTTGTTTAGGACTGGGAGAATGTCATTTCCTCCAGTTTTCTCTTTGATTGTGAGGATGTGACTGACTTTGAAGATAACTCATCTGCGTAAACACACTGTATAACCTTATGAACGTCTGAACTGGCTGATGTCTAACAGTCCTTTTAGTATATATATATATATATATATATATATATATATATATATATAAGTGATGAAATGGATATAATTTTCTTTGAACAGAGACAGTTGTTTGTTTTGGCAGCTGAGAGTCACCTAGGGAAAGTCTTGTGTATTGCCTTTGGGTTGGATTCTGATGTTTCTTCTAGGGTTTGAATTCTCCTGGAGCGTTTTTCTTCAGAACTGCTGGCGTTCCTCCATGCGGATATTTCCTTATGTGCTCCAGGCTCGTCGTGTGTTAGTTTTACATCTGCAGGGACTGTAAAAGGAGACATTATTTGTCAGTGTTGCTGTGTGCAAAGGGGTTTGTTCAGTGCAGTTGTGGGTAGATTTAGTTTTAACTTTGGCAGGTTGAACTGTGGGATATATATACACACACACACACTCACCGGCCACTTTATTAGGCACACCTTACTAGTACCGGGTCGGACCGCTTTTGAACTGCCTTAATCCTTCATGGCATAGATTCAGCAAGGTTCAGAAAATATTCCTCAGACATTTTGGTCCATATTGACATGTAAGTATGCAGATTTGTCGGCTGCACATCCATGATGTGAATACCCCATTCCATCACATCCCAAAGGGGCTCCATTAGATTGAGTTCTGTTGTTACTGGAGGCCGTTTAAGTTCAGTGAACTCATTGTCATGTTCAAGAAACCTGAGATGATTTATACAAGCATAAATAAATATATATATATATATATATATTTATATATATATATATATATATATAAATTTATATGTTTTATTTTTGTTTTAATTTGTCTTTTTTTTTCTACAATTTGATTTTATATTTTCTCCCACGAATTAATTTTTTTTTACCGTGATCTAAAGTTATTTTGTTAGATTAGTTCCAGTTTATTCTGCTAATCTGATGTATATGCACAAAACAGAAAGTTTATAAATATATCAAATATATAAGTTTGTTTTGACATAATATATTTGTGTGTGGTTATTATAAATGTTTATTGTGTATATGTGTTACACACATATCAACACAGCTATACAAAACACATTTGTTTCATAGATGTTTACATGCCTATATATAATCATATACATATATATTCTATGTCAATACATAAATGAACATTTTTTCAAATACATGCATGCATGTGCATATTTATTCATGCATAATAAGTAAACACAGTACACACACTTGAATTATGTCAAAAAACTTTTATTTTGCATACGATTAATCGCAATTCATTTTTGCCAGATTTGTCATTTTATCAAGTTCTTATGTTTGTTAAGATCACCAATGATGTAGCCTTCGCAGAACGCCTGTAGAATTCTTTCTGTCATTTACCAGAACTACATATGCCATCTTGCTCTGCAGTCACACACCAGTTTCAGCCCTCCTGTGATTTTTTTCTCTTTTTTAATTCTTTCTTAAATTAAGTTTAACAAACCAAGCATTTTTTTTCCACAATATTTCCTACAATATTTTTCTTCTGGAGAAAGTCTTGTTTGTTTTATTTCAGTTAGAATAAAAGCAGTTTTACATTTTTAAAACCATTTTAAGGTCAATATTGTTAGCCCCATTAAGCAATATTTTTTTCAATTTTCGACATAACAAACCACTGTTATACAATGACTTGCCTAATTAACTCTTACTTAACTAATTAACCTTTCCCAGAGATGGGTGGCGGCTGGAAGGGCATCTGCTGCGTAAAAACTTGCTGGATAAGTTGGCGGTTCATACCGCTGTAGCGACCCAGGATTAATAAAGGGACTAAGCCGACAAGAAAATTAATAAATGAATGAATGAATGAATGACTAATTAACCTAGTTAAGCCCCTTAAATGTCAATTTAAGCTGAATATCTAGTAAAATATTTTGAACTGTCATCATAGCAAAGATAAGAAATTACCTTTTATTATCTTTTATCATAAGTTATTAAAACTATTATGTGTAGAAATGTGTTGAATAAAATCTTCTTTCTGTTAATCAGCAATTGGGGAAAAAATATACGGGGTGGGGGGGAAGGGTAATATTTCTGACTGTGTATAATACAAGTAATAAGTGGTCATCAGCATTAGCTGTGTCTGTGTAATCAGTAGACGACCTGAAACTGGTCTGTGACTGCAAGACATGATGGGATATGTAGTTCTGGCAAATGACAGGAAGTGTTTTCCAGTGTTCCGCAAGTGCTACATCGCTGGTGATCTTAACAATATCATTAAAACTGGGAAATTATAAAGAACTAAAGTTTAAAAAATACTAATGTCGTTCATTTAATCAGTAATGATAAAAAAAGAGAAAATCACAACTGCACTCTAGCACCTGAGGTCATGTATAAGCAGTGTGTGTGTGTGTGTGTACAGGAGGCGTACGTCATGGCCAGTGTTGAGCATCCTCACGTGTGTCGTCTGCTGGGCATCTGCTTGACCTCCACAGTGCAGCTCATCACTCAGCTGATGCCCTACGGCTGCTTGCTGGACTATGTCAGAGAAAACAAGGACCGCATCGGCTCCCAGCACCTGCTCAACTGGTGCGTGCAGATCGCTAAAGTAAGTGCATCGTAAAATTCAAATTCAACATTTATTTGTCACATACAGAGTCATACTTACCTAATTACCCTAACCTGCCCAGTTTACCTAATTAACCTAGTGAAGCCTTTAAATGTCACTTTAAGCTGTATAGAAGTGTCTTGAAAAATATCTAGTCAAATATTATTTACTGTCATCATGGCAAAGATAAGGTAAATCAGTTATTAGAGATGAGTTATTAAACTATTATGTTTAGAAATGTGTTAAAAAAATCTGCTCTCTGTTAAAAAGGAAATTTGGGGGAAAAATGAACGGGGGCTAATAATTCTGACTTAAACTATATAAAATAACAATAATATTTTTGTACTTGAAAATCATACATTGACATTGTGCATGTGTATATATGCAGTGTCATCGTGTATACATGGTAGACCCACGCCTATAAAAACTACAAAAACATACATGGACATATGCGATAACACACAGGAAGCCAGACAAGCAAACACAGACATATGGAAATGAACACAAATTCAGACCCACATGCCAAAAACTGACACACATACACACACACACACACACAAAGAGAGAAGGGCGGAAAGCAGCCAGGTAGTGAGTTTCAGCAGCGCCAGAAGCCTAATAAATCATCAGACGTGAGGCTTGAGGTCTTGAGACAGCAGTTGACTGGATCTTGGAGCGTCAGTTGCCTAGTTAGATATGTAAATATTGCGTGAAGAATTCCATCCACAATGCCTTCTCCCATCTGCTCCTGTTGGCATATTGATTTTTAAAGCAGCGCTTGGAAACTGACGAAGCCTCGGCTTTCCAAGTCAC